ATCTCCGTCTCTCATACCTAGAGTCGCACATCGGAAACTTACTGAAATATATCATAAAACTTATAAGGACTTGCACTAGGCTCTTTTATTGACGAGTCTAGTAGCGTAGACTTGTAACCAAGCAAAGCATTAAAGTGATTGGTTGTATGGGGTGATTGAGTTTGACCCTGAGCCCTAAAGGCAAACCCTATCCACCATGGGTAAAGTGCAAATAACAGTTGATTTGATAAGTTATAACGCTCACGCGAAGGCCCTTAGCACTAAGGGTAGTGCTTAGCTCAGCTCCTCATCCCTACAATCAACTTTTTGTTCATTCCAGAATATTTTGAGAACGTAAGGTGAACTTGTTTCGACGAGCCACAAAATATTTTGAGAACTTAAGGTGAACTATCGTCCTAATGTCTGGCTCGGCCCCTCATCGCGCAATCAAAGATTCGTTTTTCCAAAATTATTTTCAAAAACTTAATTAAACTAATTACACTTTGTGAATCGTCCACGAAAAATTCATTAAGAAAAACACAGTGGCTCCTTTCAAACTAAGTTGTAAAAAGCAGTAAAATATTAACATTGTACACCCTTTAAATGCCACGTGGTCCATGTAGGCTTTGTGCGACGTGATTTCGCATGAACGCCGGGGACTGTAGAGACAAGTGTTGCTGCAATTGCAGTTAATGGCCAACCAGAAGATTGATCTACCCTCAATCGCAGCTCATGAACATGATCGAGGAAGCTTCCCTAGTACTTGAAATAGAAACAAAGACCTCCAAGCTCAGGACTTCCGTCAAATTAAAAAACTCAATGGTTATTCAATCCAAATCCCAGTTATTTTAGTTGGACGTTTCTCCCAATTAAGTATCCTCTTCAAGCACGAATGCTTCCTACTTAGCCTAGTCCGGTATCGTACATGGCAGTCCAATACAACGTTATCATGCAACTTATGGATTAATTAATTTTTTTTTTCTTTTCAAAAACTGAAACCTTGATGCAGAAAGAGACTTTGTAAGTACATCTGCAATTTGAAACGTTGAGCCAACAAACCAAGCTAGAATGGGGGAAGCAATAATCAGCTCATCAGTGGGGCTATAACATGTTATAAATCCTTCCATGATTTATAACATATGCACTTGTTACTCTCATTATTTTTATAACCATTGTTAATTATGCAGGAATAAAAAATTTTATGCCCTATTTAGGTGTCTGCTTTAAATGATAAATAGATTTCGTCAACTTACATACTTTGTTCTCTTGGCCAGGTTCAACAAAACCTTCTGGTTGGTACATGTAAATTGCTTCATCTAAATCTCCATTACAAAAAGGGTGAAGTGCCGAGTTAGTCCTTGAACTATCACCTTAGTGAAAATTAGGTTCTTGAATTATTTTTCCGATAAAATAAGTCCCTAAATTCATTAAAAATTGCTAATTTCATCCCTACTATTATATTCAAAGCTATTTTATCCAATTTTTTGTCAACTTAAGTCACTTGACACATTTTAGAGTGTAATACCGTCATTTTGTCGCCTATAAGCCCTTAATATTTCATATAGGGTGCGAATTTAACGTCTAATTTACCCCCAAAGTTAACTCAATACAATATTTCTTTATGTAAAACTACCAATCTACAATCCAATGTGAATCACAAGTAAGTAACGTGACTTAAATTGATGAAAAATTGAATATAGTAGCTTTGAATGTAATATTAGGGATGTAATAGGCAAATTTTTATAATTCAAGGACTGATTTTTCTTAAAAAAAATAGTTGAGGGACCTAATTTTCACTCATATGATAATTCATGGACTAAATTGGTAGTTCACCCTTAAAAAAAAACTGTTTTAACATCCATTTGATGAATAATCAAATCATGAATAGAAACAACAAGAATTAGCAATCTAATTTGATGAATAATCAAATCATGAATAGAAGCAACAAGAATTAGCAATCTAATCGATGTTACTCTAGTAACTGGAGAAAAAGTATCAAAGAAATCTAGATTAGCTTTTTGTTTGAAGCCCTTTGCAACAAGTCTGGCTTTAAATTTATTTATATTTCCATTTGGTTTGAGTTTCTTTCTAAGGACCCATTTGCACCTATAATTTTACAACCTGGTGGTAAATCTACCAGCTTCCAAGTTGTTGAGGCCCAAAAATCTCACCTACAAGCCCAATCATCTTAAAAGCGTAACAAGCGAAGCTTAAATTCATGCAAAAGTGTTGAATCAAGGGTTATGTGGATTTACGATCACGTCATGTCAATAAAATAATAATTTATAAATTAGACGTTTGTATAGTGATGCCAAGCCCATGCAAATTCATTCACATTTATCATGCCAAGCCATGTTATGACATTAATGTTGCAATTAAATCACGCCAACCATGCTAAATGCTAAAATGGGCCCAAGCCATGTGACGACCCGTCCTTACTTTCACTGTGATTTATTTTCCATTGGTGTGTTTTGGCGATTTTACCCTTTTTGGACAAAAGTGGAATCTGACGTGGACGTGGTTTTCGGCTTTCAGTTTCATTTCCCTGGTTTCGTACTTAATTAGTACTCGTTGTCACAAACGCGTAGACGTGAGTTAGACCCGAATCAGTTTTGTAACGAAAACGTTACGCTCCATTAAAGTACGTTAGCCGCGGGTATTTTTGTACATGAGCCTACAAAAATATCAGTGTCGGAAACACTGTTAAGGATACAGATTTTGTACATTTGAAATTGTACAAAATCTGAAAAATCCTTTTCTTTCCCTAATTGGTGGATCCATGTCCCCCATTCCATCCACCAATCAGTTTCAACTTTTCCACCAATCAAATTATTCAATTTGTTTTTCACCAATCACATTCAACCATTTCCTCCCCTCCATTCCTTTCCCCCCGTTTTCCTCTTCACCAATCAAGTGCCATCCTCAAACTGGCACCCAACCAGTGAACACCCTCCACATACCCAGTCACTAATCAAAACACTCAACCTCACTCTCTCTTCTCCCTTTCCCCGAAGACTCTCTCTCTTACCCTCCCTCTGCAACTTTCTCAACCGACGTCCAAACCACCCAAACATGACCTGTAATCTCCATCTTTGAACTCCCCTCAACCCCACGAACACAACCATGTAACCAGATCTCGATTTGGTTGAGGTTTGACTCCCCAACTCGGAAGCTCCGACTCGGTGAGTTCTGGATCAACGATTTTCAGATTGAGTCACGGCGTTTTAGGACTTAGGGAAGCTACTACTAAACTCCTTAAAGATCCTAGATTAGTTTTGGTGAAGAGTTGACATAAAAAAACATGAGGTTTCAAGAAGTTCCAGTTTGGCCGTACCTTTCGAGCCATTTTTAGGCCACCTTCGTCTACTTTTTGGACCTTTGAAAGGTATAACGTGATTCTACTCTTCATAAGCTACATTTCTATATAAATTTTGTGAAAAATGGTTGAGAAATAAAAAAGATATGAAGGTTTGAAAAATTACCCAGTTTTCGAGGACATTTTTCCAGATTCCAGCGAACCAAACATCGATCGACTGCAACCGGCGAGGCTTGATGGAGAAGAGGACGGAATATTTTGTCAAAGTTGATGGAATATTCTAATGGCGTCACCTGAAGCCGTTAACTTCTGTTACTTTTTAACGAAATATTCCTAACGGCCGTTAGGGTTAGCCTGCGCGTGGTGGTGCGTATGGTCGTGCCCTAGGCGGCACGTCTGGCCTCCGATTGACCGTCTGTCAATTTGTGTAGCTCCGTGACGTCGAGTAGATTGATTTCATATATTCAAACCCTATGTTTAAGCAATCTACAGAGGTTTTATTTAAGTTTCCGTATATGTGTTATTAAACTCATTAAATTAGTAATTTTACATATAGGGGAAACGTATTCTGAGGGTGTACGAGATCAAGCAAGGTTCGGAGGCTTCGTTTCGACTACATATCTATGAGTGGGTCATTTCTTTTTATAAGTATACACATACTTGCTAGTTTCCAGTTATACGTTGAAAAGAATTTACTACGTATGCCTTGCTTGGACTAAAATTACATGAAGTAGCGAAATGACGAAATTTAGGAAATTATTCTGAACCCTATAGGTTCACAGGTATGCATGAGATACCATGATTATATTTTACAACTATGATTAATTAATGTTATAAGAACTACTGTGTTGTTGTGAAATGCTAAAATAATCCTACGGGATACGCAGGTAAGTTACTTTGTTGACTAGAAATATTGAATTGTTATAGCATGATTATATTTATGTTATTTGCTCATCATTGCTGCACCCCGATGTTAATACTCACCTTAGGGCCAGGGCCAGTCTTTCACGTGTAAGTTCACATCAGCACCGTTCGCTCGCCTTGGATCCAAGTTAGGTGCCAGTCCTGTCATACAGATTGCATTAGGCAATTCCGACTTGTATGTGACCATGCTTTGGCGCCATCTTTCACATGATCGTAGTACTAGAGCGCATTGATTACACCCATTCCTGTTTGTTTAAGAAATTATCTGTACGAACTCGTGTGTCAGCATAGGTTGATAAGCATTCGTTATGATGTGTTTACTATTTTGAGATTATGTGATTGCGCTCACCTTATTCTTATCTGATAGCTGTACTTTATTGATTTTCTTAAGACTTGCAGGCTACGGTAAGTATTTTCTTATTATATGTAGTACGTATATTTTTGGAAACTATACTTGGTTTTACGGCGAGGGGTTATAATGTTTTTGACAAGGTTTTTACAAAACGTTATTTTCTGATCCACTCAACTTTGTTTTTCGCCCCTCCATAAATATTAACAACCATATAAATATTACAGGCAGAATATGTAATTACAAACACATCTATAGCGAGTTGGATAAGGTCTAGATGTGTGGTTAACAAAGGGAGGGGTTTGAATCCCCCTGGTGTTTTTTTTTCTTTCTTATTTTCTTTTCCTTTTCCTTTTTTCTTTTGTTTTCTCTTGCCTTTCAACTAAATAATTCATAATTTAAATTTATATAACCTTTATATATATATATATAAAATATATCTCAAACTTTTAAAATTATAAAATACCCACGTAGTGTGGGTGGATCTCAAACTTGGACAACTTTTTAAAATACAAAGAACCCACTACGTGGGTTTTCATAATTAAAACATGACCACAACTTTTTTTTTAAAATACAAAGAACTTATCGGAAAGGGATCCAGAGAGAATTTACGAAATCTACCAATTCAGATCCTTAAAATTTAATCTAACAGTTAAAGTTATTATAACTTTTAAAAAGAATCACTCTTTTTAACCGTTGGATCAAATTTTAAAAACTCGAATGGATAGATTTGATGGAAGGGATCTGAAAAGGATAGGATCCCCTTCCTCTTTTATCATATGATCACCATATACGCAATCTAATAGATAATATACCAATAATTAATCACTAGTTGGGTCCCGTCATTCCATTATTCTTTACATTTTTTCCACTATGGTTTGTTGTTTTCAATCATTTCGCTGCGCATTTTGTGGGTCTCTCCCCTACCCCGAGACCCCATTTCCTTCTCTCACTCTCTTCTCTGCACTGTCTCTCTCTCTCTTCTCTGCACTGTCTTTCTCTCTCGAAAGTTCGAAACCCTCTTACCTCTCTCCCTCTCTTGCCGTGACCACACACACACACGCAGCAGCACCATCTGCTCGACTCGAGCAGATCGAGGACACCACCATCATCACACATCATCAGTCTTCTCTCTCCCGCCTCTGCGAGAATGGCGGAGCCCATAACTCTCCGGCGAGTCTTCTTTGATTTTCCGGTTAGGTAATCTCGGATCTCTCTCTCCGTGTTAGTGTGAAGCTCAAATTAGTTCGATCTGCTGCACTGCCCTTCGTTCACCACCGCAGAAAGAACAGACAGGGAGCTTGTACTGCTCTAGGGGACTATGGCTAAGGTAGCGCATTCGTCGTCACCGTCGTCGCCATCACCGCCATCGCTGTCGGTGGTCAGGTCAACTCCCGGTCCCTCACCTTCTTACCTCTTCGATTGATTCATGCATATGAATTGTGGTTGTGTTTTCAATCGCTATGTAGCTTAGATCTTGATCTTAATCGTGTTTTTGCAAGGTTTTTGGGACGAAATCGGCTCGGGAATCGGTACACCCATTTCCGGCGTTCTTCTCCGAGAAGCCCACTTCCAAAAATATCGCGATAGTTTCGATAATATCGCGATATTTGGACGAAAACCATTCGGATACCAATTAAAATATCCATTGCGCGAAAAACCGATAATATCGGCGATATTTCGCCGATATTATCGGCATTTTCTTCCATGGATATAACTTTATTTAATGAAAAAGACTTAAATTTTAATGAAAAACCCTTAAATTTTAATAAAAAGGACAAAAGAACTTAAATTTTAATGAAAAAGACATAATTTTAATATGAAAAAAAAATCTGACGCGTTGACCCATGCGTCCTCACATTTTTTATGAAACTTCTACATTGTTTATGAAACATACAACACTGTTTATGAAACTTACTGCGCTGTTTATGAAAACTTACGACACTGTTTATGAAACTTACGGCACTATTTATGAAACTTATTATACTGTTAATTCAAACTTGCCACACAGAGTCTTCCAAAACATGGACATGGGTATCATTCTGGGTCATCGGCACCTTCGGTGATTACAAAACCAGTATGCGCTTTTGATAGGGGAAGAAAAGCAAGGAAAGCATGTCGTAGTAATATTGGTGGGTGCGCCTGGAACCGGCATGTCCACCTTTTGTGAACATGTCATGCGCTCCTCCTCCACTCTCCCTTAGGTACACGTTTGCAGGTATATCTCAGTACTTAGTATGACACTCCGCATTTCTGTTCATTTGGGTTTGTTTATGCTGTTATATTTTTGTAGGATACTATGAAAAATGATAAAGCTGAAACGAAAGTGCATTGTATAGCAAGAACAAATGGATGAGTTTGTGAAGCTTGGTGGTAGTGCCCAGGTTGATGTTCATGTTGTGGTGCTTGATCTTCCCGCCAAGCTTTGTATTTCATGGTCTGTGAAGGGAACGGGCCATGAAGGAAACTTGCAAGGTGGGAAAGCTGCTGCGGTTGTGAATGGAATGATGCAGAAGAAAGAACTGTCTGTCTAAGCTTGGGGAAGGGGGGGGGGTGGTAGTTGGTTAGAAGCGAAGTTGTCTGATGGAGTTTTTGGGGGGTGGGTAAGGGAAGAGCGCATAGCTCGATTTTTATTTTTTATGTTTTTTTCCTTATCATTAAATAAAGTTTGTGTATGGTTTTTTTTATTTTATTTTATTAAAATGCAAAGATTTGAAGTCCTTTTCATTAGTTTTCCTTTAAATTAATTCACATTTTTCCACTACACTACACTACACTTTATAGCTTCGTTAAGCTCCAGGTGTCGGCAAACATAACTCGATTTCGGAGTCCAAGTGGATATTCCGGGTTGGGGTGTGTCAAGCCACATATTGGGCTTGCCAAGTGGATCGTGGTGTTGATGGTTATGGAAATTTATTGGGCTTATGGGGAGCTAAGGTTGTGAAAGACTTTGGACTGCTTGGGAGCACAAGAAGTTCATGCCCATGATCTTTGGTTTCATGTGGGTAAATCTGAGAGAGAACATACTAAGTTTCCCTTTCCCTTGCAAACCAGCTATGATACTTAGGAAACAACCAAAACCCAAAGCTGAGCTGCCTACAGGGTCACGTTCAAAACAAAGAGTCGTGAGCCTCATTAATGATGAGATAATGGATCTTTCACTTCCAAGTTCACACATGAACACAAGGAAGGAAAACAAGGAGGAACGTTGCCAAAAAAGAAGTATGTGGAAATTGACCATAAAGAAAAGCTATAGCCGCGCCCATGTAAATGAGAAAGAATGACTCAACGAAATAAGAAGAAATGGGGAAACCAAAGGATTCCTTAGTGGAAGTTGGAAAGGAGCCTTACGTCTATAAAATTGGATGGAAGTCAGCATGAAGGAGGATAACGGAGACAACATAGAGGGAGAGGGGATCAAGGCAAAATTGCACCAGGTAAAGCAAGTTTTCTAAGTGTAGGACACCTTGATTCTTAAAGAAGGAACTTTCCTCACCTTTTAGGGATTTCCTCAAGCTTCCCTTAAATTCCTTAATCACTACGAATATTCCCAGAGCATTAAGAACCCTAGGTTGGCCATTCCCAAAACCATGGAAGCATGCACAAGTTTCTTTCACGCTAAACCAGTAAGCTTTTAGCTTCCATGCCACTCTTCACACACACAACCCTAACTTGACATAATCATCCAATCTTTGAGCCATTGATTCAACTGAGGTACTTCCTAAGGCACATTAACTCTTTCGAGGTATCTCATGACTTGCTATTGGAAATGAACCAAGGGGTCAAAGAGTTTCCACCAAGACTCAAACCCAACTCGATCAAAATGTCCTCAACATAAATTGGCGACTTCACTATGGACCAGGTCGCAACTCTGATTTAATGACTCCAAGATCCAGAAGACACCTCTAGAAGTGGCAACGCCTCAGAGGACGCAGGCGAGGCTGCTTCCAGGCTGAACGAATCCTAGCGCAAGGAGCAGGGACAAAAAAGACAAGAGAACCTGAAAGAGTACGCCATGCTTGACATTATTGCTGCTATTCATGCTTTGGGGAAGTCCAAAAGGAGGTTTTTGCATCAGTAAAGGAGTTAAATAACTCAATCCCGCAACTAATTAAGCAACAAGATGAGTGAAAATGATTGCGCGTAGACAGCCCTTCAAGAGGAGTCAGCCGTTGCTACAAGAAAGGATTCTGAGAAGGGACATCCTTCGTCACCTAGGAAGATGTCACTGAAGCTCTGAAGACTGAAATTATGTTCCTGAACCGCCATACGCGCCAGTCTCCTCCGCATGCCATATCCTAAAAACTATGGAACTCCTAGTTTTGTTCTCTTTGACGGGAGGAAAAGCTGTGAGAACTCGTATTTTTTATTTTTTTATATAAGTAAGTTTATATGGTTTATAGCATCATCAAGAGACACTATAACAAATTGACTTTTAAACGGGGCCTATATTAGAATTACCTTATGTCAACCATTCATTTTCCTCGTAACCCACCAAATTCATGTTCATTTATCCTTGTATTGTCTTCTAGAATTTTCCCATCTTATTCGTTTGAGAGTTAACCTCCATTATGAGCCATATGTTGTTGATTATGAGGTGGCTACTTTAGATTGTTTATTAAGATAGAGTTTTTAGCAGGAGATGGAACCCTAATATTAGGATGAGAGCAAAAGGTGCTCTTTCATTAGTCTAGTTTGCTTACTGGTGGAAGCTATACTCTAACGTGGCACACCATAGATTATAGCTCTCTCCTTTTATATTTTACATTGAGGTTTAAGGTGCTTGTAAGCACTTTTCCTGTAAAAGGAGATGGCAGTTGGTCTTTCATATTGCATGACACCTTTTGCTTGCATTTACTTGGCCACCACGTAGTAGATTTAAAGATCATCTGTTCTTTAACGTCTTAGATGTCACAGTTACCTTTCCAGCTATTTGATCACATCCCCCTTTGATAGCCGACTCCTATCTCCTAAAAATAGGCATGCCCCATTGTTTTATATCATGCAAAAGGTTGCATGCATTGTGAAAGCAATTCACGTAGATTTTATATATATATATATATATATTTTTTTTTATATAAATAGAAGAGTCAAAAGAAAGAGCAAGAGAGAGAGTTAGGTTTTGAGGTGTGTGAAGATGTTATTGGGTTGTTTTGCCTAAGTTCGAATTATTGAGGTGTGGTTTATGTAATGTGTTCAAAATATTCTTATTTTTTGATAAACGAAAACCACAAGCTATTGAGGGGTTTTCTATTTCCAAATATCTCTCTATTTTCAAGTCAAGCATGTTTGTTTTTGTGAAACGCTTTGATGAGATATAAATAGAATATGTGGATTTACTTGAGATTGTTCATGGAGCATGAGATATTTAGTGTTGCATCAATTTGAGGGATAACTATAAACAACACACGGAGACATTAGCGCAGAAAGACCATTGAGGGTCACGTGGTGAGCTACATATTATGAAGGATAATGAACACGTAAAGGGATGATGTAATATGGAATTATGTGATATATGATTTTATATGTACTCTATTTTCTAGAGAGTAAAACAGCATCACTTGAAAAACAACATCGCTTGATTGGCATATACATATTCTACTCACTGGGCGACGGTAGTTGTTGCTCACCCTCACCCTGTTATTTTTAAGATGAGTTACTTGGCAAGACAGGGATTAGATAAGCTGAGGTTGTGTTAGACGAGGGATTTAAAGGTTTTTATTTATTTTATACACCTTGTAAGGGTTTTCGGATTATTGAATAAGAGAAGTTTGTTTTATTTATTATTTTTTATTATTTTTACTTGAACACTGAGTGCAGGTTTTTTTTCCACCGATCTTAGGTTTGGGGCATGACAGTAGCCCAAAGAAGCACATAAGCCGCTTCATTGAGGCTTTAGGTCCTCATGCTGGTGACCATAACCTCTGTCCCAGGGAGTTTTTAAAAGGCCTCACTGATCGTGTCTATACTTGGTACACCCCATTCTATTCGAGCTTGGGAAGTTTTGGCAAGTTATGTAAAAAGTACTTCTAGCATGAAGATTGGGTCACCAAAACCCAACTCAACACACACACCACAAAAGCATTGGAAAGATCCTCTAAGCTTCGTCAGCCGTTTTGGGGACCTTGCCTTTGATTGTTATGATCAAAATGATGAGGAACCGCTTGTGGAAATTTACTTTAGCAACATTTGTTTGGTTTATAACTTGAACTTTGGGCTCAAGAAGGAGTTGGCCCAAAAGTAGGTCTGAAAAGGGGAAAAGTCCGAAGCCCAGCCAAAGCCCAGAAGGCATAAAAGGCATTTCCCGACTAGGTGCAGATCATTTGCACCACTTGCTCACCTGCCTAGAGACCAAATGGTATACCAGCCAGCTAATCAGCCCAAAAGCACTTTACAGTGGCAGTACAAGTAAATAGCTGATGAGTCATTACCCTTCAAGCTGCATTCGGGCAAGATTACTGCTACAGGAGGCCAAACTGAAGTGTCTATAAAAGAAGAAAGAGAAATCAGAGATAAGGACACTCAATCAAACAAACAAATACAAGCACAAACTCTGCTCAAAAGCCAGATTTGCTTTCAAATGAAGCTGTAGTCAGCCCAAGCCTTCATCCCTTTCGGGATAAACCCTCATCAAAAGCCTTTGTAATAGCTCTGCTACCTTGTCTTAAGCTTGCTGTAGTATCGATTTCTTTCTGCAAACTCAACTCCCTACCTCATTTTCTAAAGCTCTCAAACCCCTTGATAAACCACAAAGATAGGAAGTTGCAAGACGAATCAGCCTTGCCCAACCCTCTTTGGTTTTGTCTTTTCATTCATTATCCTAGCAATATGTTATATACTTCCAGTTGTATTCAAGTGATTTCTAGTAAGATGATGATTAAAAGACTCTCTTAGTTCTTGAATCCGATTTGAATATGTCTTCACAGTTCAAACCAGATCTAAGTTCTAAGCTTTCGGGCATGTAAGATTGATCATTCAAAAGTCCTTGGCCTCAAGGCATAAAAAAGAACTTTATGTGGACTTAACCCATCCACGACAAGCTTTGATAACAAGAAGTCCGAAGTTACTTAGGGCACAAGTAATCGATCTATCTCTTAGTTTTATTTCTATTATACTATGATTATAGTAGAACGTTTGAGTATAGAAAGAATTATGATGGGAAGCCTTAAGGCCTATATCTAAGGCCCTATAAAGGCACCTATTTGGGTTCATTCTGCTCTGCGGGCTAAGATAATCAGAAGTATAATGGTTATAACACTTTTGCAAACAATAAAATAGACATCGTATTCGAGTACTGGGTTAGTTCTTGATCGGAAGCCTCAAGGCCTACACCTAAAGCCCCATAAAAGCACCTGTCATAACTAACACGGCCTCTCGGGTATATGTACAACTAAAACTCAACATCCATTTTACATCTGCTATGCTAAAGATGGCAGTGGCATGCCTGAGTACTTAAAAGTTAATCTTGATTGTAAGCCTCAAGGCCTATACCTAAGGCCCCACAAAGGCACATTTCAAAGTTAACTCTGTCTTTCTCTTTCAGCCTTGCTCGACGAGCCTTGCCCGACAAGCCCACCAGTGAAGCAGAAGCCGGACAGAAAGCATCAACTGGCGCCAACCTCTCGGGGAGCTGTGTGCTCGTCGGCTAGGAGACATCCCCGATGGAAATTCTAGCCATGAATATAGTTTTGGCATGCCCGGTAGGATCTCATTTTTTTTAATCTTGCACGTCCAAGAAGGAAAGCCATAAACTTTGCAGAAAGAATACGAAGGACGGTTCTTCTCAACCTTTGCTACAAATGGCAGATCAATCAGGAAATCCTTCTTCCCCATCAGGACAGGTGGTCCCTGAAAACCTATCTTCATTCGGAAAGTCGGAAGGGAGAGAAACTAATAAGGAATTACAGGCTACTATGATACAAGTATTAAGGAGTATGGAAAAAATCTCTTTGGAAACCAAGGGGGAAGTCAGTAGACTGTGTACCTTAACAGGGAATCAACATAGAAGGTTAGATCTGGAGTTTTCCACTCCAAAAGGTGCTCAGGGAAGTGGGATAAGTCAGGGTACCATCAGAAGTGAACCAGTTATTCCCTTATTTCCATTGTTAGAAGAAGAAAATGATAGGGGAAAGAAGAAAGTAGTTCTTGAAGGAAGTCAACCCGTGATAGAACCAGTTCTGGAGAAAGAATTTCCTAGCTTCCCATTATTATCATTTAATAATAGGAAACAAAGCGAGCAAGAAATGACGAAGTATGGGATGCCCATAACAACATGAGAGTCCAGCGGAAAAGAAAGCTCTGCAACTTCGGATAAACCTCTTCCTTATAGGCCACCCCCGTTGGCTCATAAGGGAGGAAGAGCCAACTGGAGAAAGCCTGAATTAAAGAAAGAAGCATTCGCGGGGACCGAAGCATGAAGAACGAGTCTGCCCTTCTATTCCAGAATAATAATACAGCTACTCAACAACTGAGGGAGGAGTTGGCTGAATTAAGGAGGACATTGGCTCAAAATGCTCAACCACAGACTCGCCCAGTGTTCAGGGTTACCTATCAAAAGCCTTATCCTGAATACATTGATGAGCAAAATCCATTCCCTCTCAACTTCAAGATGCTTGCATTCCCAACATTCACAGGTGAAGATAGCAGTGTGTCCTCCAGGGACCACATTTTAAAATTCTCCAATCATTGTGTAGCATATGAAGACAACCCAAACTACAAGTTAAGATTGTTTGGGAATTCATTGGCGGGACTAGCATCTCAATGGTATTCTCTATTACCCCCTAACTATTGCCAACTGGGGGTAGATGGAGATGGCTTTCCATAAACAATTTTATAGAATAGAACCAGAAATGACTATTAATGATCTGGTTGAAGTCAAACAATACGAACATGAATCCACAGAGGACTTCATGATGAGGTTCAGGAAGACAAGGATGAGATGCTAATTCCCTGTTAACCAAGCTCAGCTCATATCAATTGCTCAAAGGGCTATGAGATTACCTTTGAGGAAAAGATTTTATAATACACAGTTTAACGAGCTACATGAGTTGGTAATTGCTGCCACAAAGTATGAAAAACTGTTGCTAGAAGAGCAGCAAGTGAAGCATACTTCCAAAGCTCATCCCTTATACAAAAACAAAGCTGCAATTCATCATGTGGAGGTAGGAGAAATCAGGCCAGAGCATGAAGGTGGTCATGACAGAGAGGAAGTTGAGGTGTGTGCTGTTGAGATGACCACGCCTTTCAAACCATTGATGGTGAAAGGATTAGTTCAACCCCTAAAAGACCAGAAAATTGTGATGAACGATGGAGGCTTCGTCCCTATGAAACCTCCAAAGTACCAGAGTTATTCGTTCGATCTGGCCAAGGCATATGAGATTTATGAAGAACTGGTGCGGGCAAGAGTAATTTTGCCCGATTACTAAAAAGATGCCCAAGCCAGAAGAGTTGAGGGGGAAGAAGTATTGTAAGTTATACTATACCTTTCACCATTCTATAACCAATTGTGTCCAGTTCAGAGACTGGATACAAGACCTTATAGTGAAGGGAAAACTGTTGCTTGACAAGCCCCAAGCTAGTATGATGGTTGATACCAATCCTTTCCCGGAAGCCCCTATCAACACGATCAATCTAATTTGGGTGGGGAAGCCAGGGTCATCAGTTGTTACGATAGAGGAGAGAGATGGATCCCAGGTTGTCCCAACACCCTCGCTCAAATAAAAGTACCATAAGGGGGACCAAGGGATCATGATCATGTCCCAAAATTGGTATTAGTGAGGGAAGCAGAAGAAAAAAGAAAATAGATGAGGGGGCAAAGAGTTGCCCGAAATAAGTTCAGACAAGAACCAGAAGCAAAGCAAGCAAAACACAAAATACATGTTCATTCTGCTAAAAGAAGGGTTACAAATAATTCTAGTCTAATAATTTTACATCTTTACTCAGGATGATTATTCGAGATTGATATGTCTGCACGATGGCAAAAATCCTACTAGGTTCGGCCAAAATAGTATGGCTATTTGCAAGTTGAGACCTGGTATGCTCTAATTCCGAGTCTGACTTCTTCACTTCTTCAATTTGGTTTTTGAGGGTGCCAAGAAGAGTTGCTTGTTCAGCTTTAAGAACAACTAGTTGTTCCTCTAGCTTCTGGATTTCAGAAGTCACCACTCCGATCCTTTCTTTTGTCAGCAAACCATCATCCATCAACCTTTCAACCTGAGCAGAAGTACTCGATTCTTTCTCCTGGAAACATCTTACACGATTGGCTTGTCTTTCAGCTTTCTTATGTTGATCCCGGAGAGCCCTCAGGTTCTCGAAGAAGGAGAGAAATTAATCATGTTGAGTTTTGGATAGCTAACCGGCTTTGAACACGTCCATTGTAACCTTCTCTATATCATGAAGAGCCTTGAGGCTGAATGAAGCTGAGAAGTCCTTCCTAGCCCATTCTTGGAAAGCTTGTTGCTGCTCTCGAAGACCGGAAGATACGGCAGAATGCTTTAAAGATTTAAGCCTTATCTCAAGTTGCCCGAATTCTTCAAAAAGTTCGGGCAACTTAGCAGTTTTTGAAAATAAAGAAGCAGGAGGAGGATTTCACACTCCAGTTTCCTCTAATGAAGTAGTACCTACTGATGGGGCAGTTTCTGTCTTCCCGGTCTTCTCAATTCCAGGATGGGAAATCCCGGCACTTCCAAAAGTTGAATGGGGTCAGGGGAGCTTTGATTTACGAACCAAGCGAGGAGGAGAGGCTTATTCCAGAACTTGCTGCAAAGACCAAAGAAAACTAGATTAAGACAAAAATACAGTTTGAAGCAAATGGAAGCTTTGGGAAGAAGAAATATACCTGAATAAGCCCTGGGGCTTCACAAGGAAGAGTACCAATTCCTGGTTGAGGGGAAGACTCTCTACCACTAATAGGGGAGGAAAAAACTGCGCCTAAACTTTCGCCAATGCCCTAGAAGTATCCAGGGATAGCAACAATTGTTAGTAAGCAGATTCTAAGAGGAAAACAGGAAGAAAATACCTCCATACCTGAGTTTGACTCCGAGAAGAAGGAGGTTCATCAATGGTAACCGTCGGGCAAGCAAACACCTACAAAACCGCTACCCCTGAGGTCACAGGAATCTTAGGGACTATAGGTTCATCACATATTGCCACTGACGGTTGGGGTGGTTCATATAATGGAGAAGGCTGCAAGAAATATGAATGGAAGTTAATATGGAAGCAATGCACAGAAAGTCAATGTAAGGATAGTTACTCACCAACTTACTGTCCTTATCCACAAAGTGCAACATAACTCCTGTGGATGGATCAAATTGAGAAGATAGAGTTGCCTTCAGGGCAGAAGGAGAAATCAAAGACTTCAAAGGAGAACCTTGACTAGGCAAGGGGACAGATACCCCGACCTGGATGAAGATAGAAGAAGAGAAAGGTTCAGGCATTAGCTCCAGAGACTATAAAGTTACCCAAGGTTTGAGAAAGAAGGAAATGCACCTCTAAAGGATTAATCTGGGGAGGAGAGAGGCTTGTTTCTCGAGTAAGTGGAGAAGAGACCTCTGGCGAACGGAGCTTTTCCTCTCTTGCAGCCTGACTCATGTAATCATGCTCATGGTTTTGTAGAAGCAGGAAAGATTATGCAGACATAAACATAAACTATACCTCAAGTTCTTTGAGGGTGATATTTCACAATTCTTCAGCCTTTTTGTGAATTTTAGCTCCTAATGGTTCCTCATTAGAAGCAATGGTTGGTTTCTTAGATGCTTGAGGTCTTGTTTTCAAGGAAAACAAGGGTAATTTGATAAAGAAGAAGGGTGGCAATCTGATAAAGAAGAACAAAAACTCACTTGAAGATTTTTGCTTCTTTCTGTCTGCCTTAGAAACTGGAGCAGATGAGGCTGAAGACTTAAGAGTTTGGACGGTTTTTGTTCTTTTACTCTTTCTAGTAGGAATTGGTCATTTAGTCTTGGGTGGGGATGCAGGATCAGAATCTGAGGTTTCGATCACAACTGCTTTCCTTTGTTTAGACACTTGGGTGGTGACTTCATGCGCTTCTTTTTCAGCCCCTGAATCTTCGGAAACATCCCTACCTTCTCCAGCTTCTCGTCTTTCAGCCTCTGCCGCAGCTTCATTAAGAACTGCTGTATCAGCTAAGTCATCATCGGACTCCATGGGTACCGATTCAACATCCATTTGGGCTGCAGGATCAAGCAAGGTAAAATTTAAAGGGCTTTAAAAGGGATATAGAATCAAGATATGAAGAGGAAATACCTATCAGAAGTAACCGATTCTTTTCCTAGATCATCTCCTTCCAATTTTCAAGTTCGTCCGAACTGGGGTATGATTTAAGTGAAAGATGAGAAAGCCTGTAGCTACATCATCAAAGTTATGAAGAGCTTCCACCAAGGGGATCCATTCAACCTTTACTCCTTTAGACTTATTGGGGAATACATGTTTGTTGAGCCAGTATAAGAGGAAATACATGTGCTCTTGATCTTTATCAACATGAGAAGAATCTGCTCCAAAATTCTCCTTTACGAAAGGGATGAATCCCTTGAAGGAAGTCCCGTAACTCTTGAAGGTTGCAGCATTATATTCCAAGGAAAGGAAAGAGGCGGATGAACCTAAGCTTTCAACAATTGAGGGGGGAGCCCAGTCTTGAGTAACATCCACTATCCTGCCTGATGGCCTTAGCCCAAAGACTTGGGCCATATTAAGAACAGTCGGAGACATGGGACCCATACGGAAGTCAAAAGTGTTTGTGCCCGAATTCTAGAAAAGAAGAGAATAAGCAAGTAGTTCGGGCTGGGGAATAATGGTAGTTTTTGAGAGCATTATCAATTCATAAATGCCGTTATTCATCCATTTCTTCTTAAAAATTAGCTCTAGTTCATCAACCCACTGAGCCCAAGCTGGATCGTTCATCAAAGGAAAGCCTCGACGATATGACAACACTTGGATGAAGAAATGCTCGACTTAGCCAAAAAGGGATTTGGGGAAAACTAATTGTCCCTGGGCATATTGTCCTATATCATTGCAGGGACCCGGGAAATCCATGCGGGACCCAACGATTGTACCCCATGCACTTCAAAGAAAAGCTCAGAATATAAACCTGCTTTAGGACGATGCAGTCCGTTGAGTAAACGGAGCAAAGTGGCGGTGCCTTCGCCAGATTCATAGGATAGATGGATTTGGCTGGATCCTGAAGCCATTTGATAAAGTTTGGAAGAGGAACGGCAAGGAAGACAACAAGGGTAGAAGAGGTCGGGCAGAGAACATAAGAGAGTTAAAAGATTTAGAAAAGTAAAATGACTGGGAAGTTAGGAAATTTTCAATTACAGAGGAATTTCGTGCTAAGAATGCAAAAGGTTCGTGAGTTAATGGAATGACCGCAGGAAAATGATGATTATCTTTGAAAAATGTGCGAATCCCGGGAGAGAGAGACGTGGGTATTAATGGGAAGCTTTTCAATCAATATTGGCGCCTGGAATTCCAGTCTGAAAATTGATTGAAGGGGGCACTGTTTGGGTTATAATTTGAACTTTGGGCTCAAGAAGGAGTTGGCCCAAAGTAGGTCTGAAAATGGGAAAAGTCCGAAGCCCAGCCAAAGCCCAGAAGGCATAAAAGGCATTTCCCGACTAGGTGCAGATCATTTGCACCACTTGCTCACCTGCCTAGAGACCAAATGGTATAGACCAGCCAGCTAATCAGCTCAAAAGCACTTTACAGTGGCAGTACAAGTAAATAGCTGATGAGTCATTACCCTTCAAGCTGCATTCGGGCAAGATTACTGCTACATGAGGCCAAACCCAAGTGTCTATAAAAGAAGAAAGAGAAATCAGAAATAAGGACACTCAATCAAACAAACAAATACAAGCATAAACTTTGAGTAATAGAACGTTTGAGTATAGAAGGAATTATGATGGGAAGCCTCAATGCCTATATCTAAGGCCCTATAAGGGCACCTATTTGGATTCATTCTGCTCTGCGGGCTCGGATAATCAGAACTATAATGGTTATAACACTTTTGCAAACAATAAAATAGACATCGTATATTCGAGTACTGGGTTAGTTCTTGATCGGAAGCCTCAAGGCCTACACCTAAAGCCCCACAAAAGCACCTGTCATAATTAACACGGCCTCTCGGGTATATGTACAACTAAAACTCAACATCCATTTTACATCTGCCATGCTAAAGATGGCAGTGGCATACCTGAGCACTTAAAAGTTAATCTTGATTGTGTGCCTCAAGGCCTATACCTAAGGCCCCACAAAGGCACCTTTCAAAGTTAAATATGTCCTTCTCTTTCAGCCTTACCCGATGAGCCTTGCCCGACAAGCTTTGCCCAACAAGCCCGCCAGTGAAGCAGAAGCCCGACAGAAAGCATCAACCGGCGCCAACCTTTCGGGGAGTTGTGTGCTCGTCGGCTAGGAGACATCCCCGACGGAAATTCTAGCCACGAACAACATTGTCCTGGGCTACAGAGTGTATCTCGAGAACATTGGCATAAGTTAGTTCGTAAGGTTCTTGGAAACAGTAAGAAAAACCAGTATGTCGATCAAACCTACTACCGAAAGGTCTTGAAAGAATGAAAAGAACAAGACTCATCAATCTCTAGCCATTGATGACAAGCCTGGCTACAATTCGAGAAAGAGAAATGAAATAGATGGAGACAAAGAAACATAACCACCATTGTCGTGGTGATGAATTTAGGCTGTTATTGTTTATTTATAGGACGTGTTTTGTAACTTTGTGGAAAAAAAAGTCAGTTAAAATGTAGCCCTCAGTTTGTAACTCTATCAACAATTTTGTTTATTTATTTTTTTCATTGGTTCTATCTCGATTAGAGATGTACTTAAAAAGTGGCCATAAACTTGCGATAGTGGTCATAAACTGTTGTGGTTCATATTTAGTTGCTTTTATTTTGTTCCTATTTGGTACATAGACATTTAGGTTTAATTATCTAGGCCACACATTACCTCTAAAACCATATCATTGAGTTTGAGTCCGACAACTTCCCAAATGCAAAGTGGGTCATGGCTCTTTATGCTGCCCATTGTGGTGAGGACCATACTTCCTCCGGGGACCAGCTCTTCTGCTCGTGACCTCAAAAACACTGTGAAGTCCTTTTTGAATTGCTCCACATACAACTTATACACAGCATATGGGCTTGTTTTTGCTATACATATGTTCTTCTTGTTTAGTCCCTCTCCTTCCCTGGTAATCAAACCTTTTGGAGCCTACACAGTACGTTTTATCATACTAAATACCATGATTAATTAAACCACCTCGAAAAATATTAGTAAGTGTATGAGGGGTTAAAAAAAAAACAATTCACACCTCAGAGATCCACATAAGGGCATAATTAGAGTGAACAAAGTGTAGAGAATTGTTTGGAAAGAGCCTGCCATAGAAAGAACCAGGCATTGCAGTAATGAAACATGGCCCCAACTTCTGTTCTTCCTCAAGTTTCTTGTAGAACCCTGGCAATGACCTGAACACAGTGTTGAAATCGTTCCCGGGAAGATCATTCAAGAAGGCTTGGAGTGAAGGAGATGGACGGTTCAGTTTTTGGAAGGTGGCATGGATGTTGTGTATGATATCTGATACCGCCAAAAGGGTGTTGGGTCCGGAAGAGCATCCCAAGTCTGCTATTTTCAAACAGTCAGAGAAGAGTTTGCTGCAAAGCTGCTCTATGCTTGCCTTAACTATGGGCTTCACCATCGAAATCACAGCTCTCTGAAATAAATTCAGACAGCTGAATATTATTAAAAAGTTCTTAATTTTATGAAAACAAGTTCCCGTCATATTAAAAAAGATCATTAAAATCGAATATGATCAACAGAGACAAAAAAAGAATTAGAGAAACAGATGCTGACTAACTTGAAGTAGAGAGTTGGTTGCATAGCTTGTTTTCCCAATTCCTCCATTCATGTGAAGCACTTGCTCTACCTCCATTTTAGTTTGTGTTCTCAAATAATGCTTCTCTACACTCTTAATTCTGGTGCCTATTCTGCTATAAGAGCTGCATATTTATAGCAAAATACTTACCTCATGCAGCTTACGTGTTATTAGGTATATAGTAATTTTTTGTGTACTTGGAACCCCGTCGCACGATATTATTAGTACAGTAAAATTATCGTACGTGTATTTGTTTTTTATCAATATATTCTAGAAGTAAAACATATCAATTATGTCGTCGCACATATTATACATATAATGGTTACACTAAATGATGATGTTCCCGCTTTCTGTAAGTTTTAGTACATCACAACCTAAAAGAATATGATATGTTAGTAGACAAATAACTTAATATTTTCTGTGAGTTTAGTTAAGAGAATTGCTAGGTAAACTAAATTTGTAGACTAATTTTCAAATTAAATGATGTCTCACTAATAAAAAATAAGAGCGTTAATTAACATTAAAGTAATAATCCTATCATCAATTTCCATGTTATTTACTTACAAAATTTAGTCTACAAATTTAGTCTCCCTAACATTACCCTTTAGTTAAAGAGTAGGTGACTAGTTTACATACGGCTCCATGTGTCATAAACGTGACATCATCTATAAATCACCCAGCTTCTCTGCCCGCCCACTTCCCATACACTCTCATCCCCTCTTATTTTGTGCGGTCACGGTTAAGCCACGTCAACATTTTATATTGATTTTTTCATAGAGATAATAAGACAAAAAATAATAGTAATATAAAATGTTGACGTGGCTTAACCGTGACCGCACAAATAGAAGGGGATAAAAGTGTATGGAAAGTGGGAGGGCTAAGAAGCCAGGTCCATAATTAAATTAGTCTAACAAACACTTGTTTGGCGTCATTAGAGTCTACATCAATCAAGCTTTGGTACATTACATGATGTACATTAAAAAATGTCGTTTACTCTTGAAAGAATCTAAAATTGATTCCGTGGTGTTGGTCTTGTCGCCTATGAATATGATTTACTAAGAGCTCATTTGGATATACTCTTAAAATAACTGAAAGTATTTTTTGTTAAAATATTTTTGAAATCAATCCTTAGTAAAAATGCAAGTAAATCCTGGAAAAGCACTTATATGTTTTTTAACAACTTGAAAATTAAAAAAAAATTGTCATAATTTTCTTTTTTTTTGACAATTAAACACCATTATACGTACATTCATCATACATTTCTGTATTTTAATTTTTTAAGTCCTTATACCATTCCAATAATTGAAATAATAGTTTACGGATGATATTTTTAACTGTTACCAATGAAGGTAATATAATATTTGCTAAGTATTCTTGGGTTACGAAAACTGTTTAGAAGATAGTATTCTTGGATTATTTAACCCATAATGTAAAGTATTAACATAACATATATCATGAGCTACATTATATTATAATTAGCTATATAAACCATGCACTATAGTCAATAGCATTGATATAAGTTTTGTCCGATAGAGAACATGGTTAGGAGAATGATTACACTTGTTGACCATGAATCATGTCTTTTCGGCAACAATCAAAAGATGCAACATTCAAATTGAAGAGATGTGATTGTTGGGTTAATAACACAACTTCCCATCTCCTGCCAAACAGCCACATATATATAATTTTATTTTTAAAATATTCAACATTACATATATAAAATCAATGGGTAAATGGTTACCCGTTTATAACCGTAGTTAATACCCATAACCACCCATTTAAATTTCACAGGTAAATAGTTATACCCATAACTGTAACCGTGAAGTTTAAATGGACGGGTAATCATGGTTACCCATAACCGCGGGTTTTGCCCATCCCTACTTATATGAGAATTGCAAACTAAGTTGAAGCAAATTCTAATCAATTTGTGGTTATCACTTGGCATGAACAAAAAAAATATTTGAAGTCCTTTGCATAACATAGCATAGAAAATAACTTAACATATATTTTAACCCTTTTATCGTACAATCTCTTGATTAGAAGCTCGGTTTACTTGTGACGCAAGTTTACAATCTAACAATAATATTAATCAAAATTTATGTTGGTCTTAGCCAACAGTGACATGCCTGACAATAAATTAGGAAAAAAACAATAACATTCAAAAACTATTGTAAAGGGGTATTGATCCTTAACTTAATCCTTCCTTCCATACCTACTCACCACTACGCCAACAAGGCCCATTGTCTATTTAAGTGCAAAGTAAAACTTAAATCCCTATACTTTCCTACTACTTTGCTAATCATAGGGAACTCTAACCTTGGTAAATCAAAGTCAATGCGACCACCATGAGTAATGTTATTCATACCATATTTTTAGAGTGCATTTTTGCTCACCACCATTTAGCAGTGTATGCTCACCGCCTTTTTTATCACCGTTAGATGAGTTTGAATTTTGAGATTTGTGCCTATCTACTACATGAATCTCAAAATTCAAACTTATCTAACTGTGGTAAATAGGGTGGTGAGCATACACCACATTAAATGGCGGTGAGCAAAAATGCTCCCTATATTTTTATACCACATTTCTATACCACCTTAGGTGGCATTTGATGTGGACAGCCACATCATTTGAAAAATTTGCAAAACCCAAGGAAAGAAAGGAGAAAGACTCCTCGTATACCACAATCATCATTTAATTAACTAGTTTTTCTTAATTATTAGTTTATTAAATAATTAACTAAATTAAAAAATCTGATTAATTCAAATGATGTAGTTGTCCACATCAAATGCCACCTAAGGTGGTATGAAAATTTGATACAAAAACATGGTATGAATAGCATTACTCGACCACTATATACTCAACCCTAAGTTCCAAAGCGAGATGCATACTTGCTAACAGTCTCGTATTTTTCCTAGTTGTTCGACACTTTGAATTTGAAACGTAGAGCATATTCAAATTCCATGCAGTCACAGGTAATGATAAGCAATTTAGCTCTGCTTCTGTTGGATAGCCCATTCATAAATAGGCTCCATTGCCCGAATGTTGCTTCCGGGTAATGGTCCTCGAGTCTATCATAATGGCCTTACCTACGTGTGACGGAGTGAACTCAACTGTAAAGTCTACCATTTCCTACTCATTTTGAGCATGCGTTGCTTTAAATTGTATAACAAAACCTCCTAGCTTAATCGTTTATTTAATCACTCGTCTCGAGACCTTCGATTGTTCAATACTTGTCATAATGGGTAGCTGGTAAGAATCACTATTGAGTGTGCTTGGAAGTTTGCCCAGAGCTTTTAAGCAGACATAATGAGAGCGAGCACAAGCTTCTCTACCTTTGGATGACAACCTTTGCTTCTATCAGTGCTTGACTTACACAGTATACTAGTTGTTGCACTTGCTCTTCCTCTCTTATGAGCACTGAACTCATGGCTGATGGTGACACATACAAATATATGTACAGGGGTTTGCCTTGTAACGGTTTAGACACAAGATGATCGGCCTATATGAGCCTTCAAATTATCAAAAGCTTGCTGACATTCAGATATCCGCTATATAATCCGTACAACTCCTCTAAGTGCTTTAAAGAAAGGTAAGAAGCAATCAGTTGATCATTAGACAAAATGGTTAAGAGCATCGACTCAACCGATAAGCTATGTATCTCCTTTTTTGTGCGTGAAAGTGTTAGATTTATGAGCGCCATGATTTTTCTGGGTTATCGTCAATCCCTTTCTAACTTACCATGAACCCTAAAATTTTACTCGAGTTAACCGCGAAGGCATACTTGGTGGAGTTCATCTTCATTTAGTAAGCATATAGAATCTTTAATACTTTGGCCAACTTGGCTAAGTGTTGGTTCTCTTCCCGCTCTTAACGAGCATGGTCATCAACATATACTTCTAGAATCTTGCCAACGTGTTTGGCAAACATTTGATTTACCAACCATTGGTATGTAGCCCATGTATTCTTGAGCACAAGGGGCATCACGTCCCAACAATAGAGGCCTCCATCGGTAATGAATGTCGTGTCATTTTGGTCGGCCGAGTGCATACATAACTAGTTGTACCTTGATTATGCATTGAGAAGGCTCAAAAGCTCTTGGTCGGCAGTTGCATCTATCGGGTGGTTGATACGAGGTAAAGGGAAGCTCTCCTTAGGGCATGCTCCATTCAGGTCGGTATAATCTATGCACATGAGCCATTTGATAGGACGTTCAGCTGCCTCGATCTTCTTTACCATGATCACGTTGGCTACCTGCCTTAGGTAATCCACTTTCCTAATGAATCTTATGTCTAGCAACTTGTCACTTCCACCTTCATGGCTTCATGGCGCTTGGTATCATCTCTTATGTCATACTGGTTTACAGTACGAGTCAAGACTAAGGCGGTGGGATATAACTCTTAAATTAATGCTAGTTATGTTTACGTAGGACCATGCAGAGACATTTGTATGCACTCTTAGAAAGCAGACCATTTCTGGTTGTCCCAGTTTCACGTTGTAGGATGAGAGGCAATCTAAAACCATGAAGTTGGTCGTGAGGTTGGCTTTTTTAGGGTAAATGTGGGACTATGATTTTCCAGGGCCGGAGTAAGGTTGATCCAAATAATGCTACCTTAGAAGTTCGTTCATGGACTCACGATTTTCGGACGAAACTGTATCAAACGAAGTAGGATGCCACTGATGAGTTCATATTATACTACATATTTTACCCTAATCTTAGTATTAATTTATTGGTTATTTTTTGTGATTTTGATGCTTTGAATTATTTTTCCAATGTAGGATATTTGAATTCCTCTTGAGCGAAAAGTGATCAAACGGATGAATTATAGAGTGATTCCAATTGGAGGATGTTCATGAGTCTTTCAAGATGATTGTAGCAAAGTTTCAGATTTTTCTACCAAGCCATTTGACCATGGCCAAGAAAAGAAGGCCCAACGCGTAGCTTTCCTAGATTGACGTTTATAGACGTTTATAGACGTTTTGATCATTTTGGAGGTGAAGATGGCATATTTTGAGGAAGATTCATTCTGAGGATTTGTTAGGGACGACTTAAGCTTTAAAAAGAGACGTTTTAGGACAAAATTGGAGTTGATTTGGTCGGTCAAAGTTTGATTTTATGAGAAGTCTGAATTTCAGTTTAAATA